CCCCAAAACCCCAAAACCCCAAAACCCCAAAACCCCAAAACCCCATCTTAACTATTTCATAATTTTATCAAAGAAATTAACTAAAATGGGAAATGTAATGGCTATAGATATCGGAATTGTTCTTGCAAGTATCACTATCTTCGATAAGAAGAACAAATTGTTCCCGAAGAAGCTTAAAGAGACTGGGAAAGCAAAAAGCATCCTCCAGGATAGCTCATACTTTGAAGTTGACCAGTCATTTTATTCAATCGAGCATGGAGGTACTTTCCATTTCGCCCATTTTAATATCCATCACTTTGAGGATTTCCTCAAAAGCAATGCTTTTAATGCGATTATCGAATTTGTGGAAGAAAATAATGAAATTAATGAGAAACCCAAGCTGCTCACTAAACTTGAAGAGCTTAAAATGGTATTTGAGGACCCGATAGACGGAAGAAGGAGATCAAATTCAACACCAGTCCGGCTGAACAAACAAAAGAAAGATTTAAAGGAAAAAGAAGAAGAGAAGACTACTTCAGACACCCCCAAGGTTGGAGGAGGCTTTCCCAGTGATAAGGTACTAAAATAAAATTATGGATGAGTATAAGATGATTAAAGATTTTGGAGGTCTCCAGCTTCTCTGCACTGGCGGATATAACAACAACTTTTTGGAGTTAATGTCTTACCTTCTCAATGTGAAGATATATAAAGTGCATAAGTACCAAGAGTCCCTCATATCAGCAATTGATTACCAAAACACCCATTCAAACGACTGATTTTACAGCCTTCCTTATAAGGACATTAAAAATATTTATGAATTAGGAAAAGTAAAGTCAGATCCCAATGAGCAAGTGTATTTCAGCATCAAAGAAAATTTCTATCCCTACCTCCTCGTAAACCTTAGATCTGGAGCTAGCTTCATCAGAGTTGATTCAAAAGATGCATATAGGAGATGTATTGGGACTTCGATAGGAGCTGGAACATTCATTGGGATCACAAAACTACTTTATAATGCATCAAATCCTACCAAATCAATACTAAAAGGCCTAAAAGGTGACTCCAGGAATATAGATATGTCAGTAGGAGACATATACGGAAAATCTTATGGCAAAATAGGTCTTCCTGCTGAGGTAATAGCTTCTAGCTTTGGGAAGATCAAGGATTACTCAGAAGAAGAGATTAATGCTCTTAATCCAGAAGATGTATCCCTCTCACTTCTCAACATGATCATGTTCAATACTCTCACAATTGCGAACCTGACCGCCCAAATTGAAGGGATAAAGAACATTGTCGTAATCGGCCATCATATAAAAGTATTAGAACTCGAGCAGCTAGTTGAGATGGGCTTCAGTTTCTTATCAAAAGGGAAGTCTAAAGTATTCTTCCTCAAACATTCTTCCTACATTGGAAGCTTAGGTGTCCTCATCGATCATGGAGGATTAGACACTTTATATGAATAAATTAATTCGAGAGACGTCATCTAAATTTCAACAAGTCTAATGTGCACTGGGGTTTTGGGGTTTTGGGGTTTTGGGGTTTTGGGG